GCTTTTAATTACTATTGATTGGAGAAATGTAAATTAAAACAACTCTGAGGTACTACCTTACACTGGGACAAAAAAGGAAGATGACAAATGTTGGAGGGGATGTGGGAGAATTGAGACACTAATGCACTGAATCATCTACAATGATTCAACCATTATGTAGAGTAATTTGGAACTATGTCCAAAGGACTATAAAAACATGCATACCCTTTGACCCAACATTACCTAGGTCTAAACCCAAAAGAAATAAAAAACAAAAAGGAAAAGGACCTATATGTACAAAAATATTTATAGCAGCCCTTTTCTGGTGGCAAAGAATTGGACACTGGGGGGAAGCCTATCAGTTGGGGAATGGCTGAACGAGTTGTGGCATCTGATTGTGATGGAATACTATTGTGCTATAAGAAATAATAAGCAGGCAGAATTCAGAAAAACCTGGAAAATTTTACATGAAATGATGCAAAGTGAAATTAGAACCAGAAGAACATTGTACACAGTAACAGAAATACTGTAAGATGATCAAGTGTGAATGACTTAGCTATTCTCAGCAATGAAATGATCCAAGACAACTCTGAAGGACTTATGATGAAAAACGCTATCCATCGTGGAATATAGAGAAAGAACCAATGGAATCTGAATACAGATCAAAGCATACTTATTTTTACTTTATTTTTCTTGGATGATGAAAGGTGAAAAGCCAATAGATTTTGGTTGGATAAAGGGATTTCTCCATTTTTTAACATGGAAGTGGTACATCTGTGGGTGATGGTGAGATCAAGAGTATGGCCATCTTTGTATGTGGCTGAATTGAGGTGGAGGAATAGCTCAGGACAGGTCAGTAGGTTGAGGAACTGAGTGGTTAAGGTATTTGAGAGACAATCAATATGTATGTTGAAATCCCCTAGTATGAGGGCAGGAGGAAGGTGAGAAAAATTGTAAGCTGGGTATTAAACTCATTGAGGAAGGAAGGGGAATGACCTGGGGGTCTGTGGACAACAGCCACCAGGATTTAGATTGGGTGGTAGATGTGAGTAGCATGAAATTCAAAGGAAGAGAGATTATTGAATTGATGGAGGAAGGGGGAGAACCTGGAAGTGGCTCTCCAGCCGCTGTGCCTCTGCCAGTGAGCCAAAGAGAGGTGAAGGTGCAGCCGCTGGAAAGGGTGGCCAAGGGTGCTGTTTCATTATGAGGAGCCAGGTTTCAGTAACAGCGTGATAGATTTAAGATGAAGGGAAGCCCATTGCATATGAAGCAGACATTCCAGAAGGCACTGGATGATGAGCAGGAGCTCCGAGTCATTGGGCTGTGAAGGGCATGGCTAAATGTGAGAATGTTCATCATTGACTGGAAGGTGCTCTCAAAGGACAGGCGCGGCAGGGGACAGGAAGCCCGAAGTCAAAGAGAACACTGCTCTTCCTCGCACTGGTCAGCCACATCCCACCAACCTACATGCAGGATTTGCTAATACAGCACATGGCATTCCACCAGTCCATATATAATTCTGTGAACTCATGCGTTTTTCTACCAGCTTGATCCCAGAAACAAGGACAGACCTTATCCAGCATCATTATTTGATTCCATTAAAACCAAGTGTTCAGGAAAAGAACATTTCTGGGGTCAGTGACTTCTACAGGAGCAATATTGTGAGTGTTAACAGTGAAGGATCAATTGATTCTAATGTTAAAATGGGCTTTGTTGGGGGCAGATAAGTGGCACAGTGGATAGAGCTCCAGCTTTGGAGTCAGGAGGACCTGAGCTCAAATCCAACCTCAGACACTTGACACTTACTAGCTGTGTGACCCTGGGCAAGTCACTTAACACTGACTGCCTCATCCAAAAGCAAAATAAAATAAAATAAAATAAAATGGGCTTTGTTCTTCTGCAGCACCGGCATTGGTTGGAGGTATCATAACTGGGAGATGGCTGGTAGTGTTTCTGTCACTCACTAAAACATTACCCCAGCTATATACAAGCTCATCCACTTCTATAGGCTCCCACTAGATGAAAGGTTTATTCAGTGTCTGCCATGCTCCAGGCACTGTGCTAGGCACAGGGAATAGTTCACTCTCCTGCCAGAATGTACTGGTTCCCACCAACCCATGTGTGATCTTGCCAACTCGCGTACAATTCCACCATCTTTCTGTTTCCATTTTCCCATATGCGTTCTCACAGGCAGTTCATATGTGGACCTACCAGCCCACTCAAGACCCCACCAATCTGTTTGTGACCTTGCCAACCCATATATGATTCTGCCAGCCCACATGTGATTCCACTGGTCTGTATGGGATGCCACCAGGCCATACATGATCTCACCAACTCATACCCCCACACACTACCCAGTCAGAAAGAAATTCTCTCACTCTTGACTGACCTAGTTTCCTCAAGGTGCCCCCCCTCCACTGCCCACACACAGCTCCAGCCTTAGAGATAGCTCAGTCAAATGTTCTGCCAATGGTCTGATTCCTCCAGCAACAAAACAATGGGAGGGAGGGACGGTGATTCCTCAGGGAGCCCCTGCCACCTGTCCCAAGGACAAATAGCCCTTCCTGCCCATTTACACAGCAGTATCTGCCTTAATGCTCTTATTAATACCCCCATTAATACTCTCCTGGCTCTTTCCATCAACACTCTCATTCCTGTTTTCATTATCTCTCTCCATAATGCCCTCATCAATGTTCTCCTTAATACTCTTGTTAATGCCCTCATTATTGCTCTCATTAATACTCTCATTATTGCTTCATTAGCATATTCTATAATGGTATCATTAGCATTCAAATTAATACTCTCCTTAATGTTCACATTAGCATGGTCATTATGCTCTTAATACTTTAATTAATCCTGCCATTAATGTCACTAGTCGATCCCATTTTCATGGTACTTGGCAGTTTGCAAAGTGAAAAGTAGTATGATACGGTGGGTAGAGCCCGGGACTTGAAATCTGGAAGACCTGGATTCGAATTCCACCTCATGGACTAACTAGCTGCATGATCTTGGGCAAGTCACTTAAACATATCCGTGCCTCAGTTTCTTCATCTGTATAATGTAGGGGTTAGGTTTTAGGGATTCCAAAATTCCTTCCCTTTTAAATCCATGATTCCTTTATAACAGTAATAGCTAGCATTTATATAGTGGCTACTATGTGCCAGGCACTGTGCTCATTGCTTTACAAATATTATGCCATCTGATCCTTGCAAAAAGCCTGGGAGATGGGGCAGGTGGGTGATGCAGTGGATAGAGCACTGACCCTGAGTCAGGAGAACCTGAGTTCAAACTCAGCTTCAGACCAAATACTTGACACTTACTAGCTGTGTGACCCTGGGCAAGTCACTTAACCCCAATTGCCTAAAAAAAAAAAGCCTGGGAGATAGGTGCTAATATTATTCCCATTTTACAGTTGAGGAAACTGAGGCAAACAAGTTAAATGACTTGCCCACTGGTCACTCTGTTAGTGGCTTTCACTCATTTTTGTCATAATGTTTTCAGTGTTCTAAAATCAATAGCTCTGAACTGGTTTGGGCAGGAGGAGCTCTCCCACAGTTACTCCTTTATGGGGAGTTCAGCTTGTTCGATTAAACCTTTTCATTCTGGGCCCTTAGTCCCTTTTCTAGAGGGGATTATGGTTCAGGAAGAGAGGGACTGGATTAAATGGTTTCTGAGGGCTGTATTATGGTCAGTTGAAGCTTTTTTTGTGGTGGGGAGGGAGACAAGAAAGAGGGAATATGGGAAGGAGAAGGCATGAGGGAGGGACATGATTTGTGTGTGAGGGGAAATGGAAAGAGGAAGACCTTAGGGATAAGGATGGACAGAAGAGGGAGGAAAGAGGGAGGGGAAGGGGAGAAAGAGAAGCACAGAGAGAGAGAGAGATCATGAAAGGGAGGGAGAAAAGGCAAGAAGCAGAGAAGGAAGAAGAAAAAAGGAGGAAGAGGGGAAGGAGGAAAGGTGAGTGTCACTCAGTGAAATTCTGAGGTCCCAATCTGTTGCCAAGGACTGTCGATTTTATCTTCATAACAGTGAAATTCTGAGGTCCCAATCTGTTGCCAAGGACTGTCGATTTTATCTTCATAACATCTCCTCCACATGCCCACTTCTCTCCATTGGCACTGCCACCATCTTGGTACAAGCCTTCATCACCTCACCCCTGGACTATTGCAATAGCCTGCTGGTGAATCTGCATACCTCAAGTATCTCCCTACACTCTAGTCAGTCCTCCTGCTCTGCTGTCCAAGGGATCTTCCTCAAGTGGAGGTCTCCTCCCCCAGTGCCCCACTCCATAAACCCCAGGGGTTCCCTATCCCCTCTGAGACCAAATATAAAATCCTCTGATGTTCAAAGCCCTTCAGAACCTGCTCTCCCTCCCATGTCTCCAGTCTTCTTACACCTTACGCTCCCATACCTACTCTTCAATCCAGGGACACTGACTTGCCTTCTGTTTTTCAAACAAGGCACTCTTATTTCCTGACTCCAGGAATTTTCTCTGGCTGTCTGCCCTGCCTGGAATGCTTTCTCTCCTCATCTCTACCTACTGGTTTTCCCAGCCTCCTTCAAGTCCCAGGTACAACCCCATCTTCTATGGGAAGCCTTTCCTTATCACCATTCTAGAACCTCTCCTCTGTTTGATTATTTCCCATTTATCCTATGTATTTATATACTATACTATATATGGTATATGTAATGTATATACACTATATATATAGCTGTTTGCATGTGGTCTTCCCCATTAAACTGTGGACTCCTGGAGAGCAGGACCTGTCTTTTATCTTTCTTTGTTGCACAGTGTGTACTGACTGAAGATTTATGGTCTCCTCATGCCCTCTTGACATGTTGCTTATCATGGTCCTTGGTTCTTCTAATTCCTGCAACTTTCAGAGGTTCTCTGAAAGAGCCTCTCTTGTGAACTGCACTCTGGGCCCTAGGGAGGAAAGCCTCCAGAAGCTCAAGGTGAGGTAGGTTGATGAAACGCTGTTCTCAGCCCTAACTCTTTTCCTTCTGTCCTTGCCCCACAGTATGGGATCAAGAAGAAGGAGGAACGTGAGGCAGAGGCCCAGGCCGCAATGGAAGCCAACTCTGAAGGCAGCCTTACGCGTCCTAAGAAGGCCATTCCACCAGGTTGTGGTGATGAAGAAGAGGAGGAGGAAGAGAGCATCCTGGACACCGTCATCAAATACCTCCCTGGTCCTCTCCAGGATATGTTCAAGAAGTAATTCCCCATGGACTCTCAGACTGTTTCTACCACGAACAGCAAAGCAATGCCGTTCCCACCACTTGGTGGGGACTCTCAATCTCGCCACCTACCACGCACCCCTCTGCTCACTCCATCTCCCTGCCCCCTCCCTCCCCTGGCTGCTCCAGGCCCCTTGGCCAGGCCTACTTGTACATAGTCCCTCCTCCCCACTCTCCCCAGTAGATGCCTCCCATCCACCAGATGTCAGGAGCAGAGTGCCGCAGTCTACTCAACTTTAATTATAAGCCATAGTACTAGGTGTGTTAGGAAACTCAGCTAATCAGGCACCTCTACACTCGACAGAGAAAAGGGGAGACCTCCCAGTGGCTTCTGGCCCCAGAATAGGCAGCATCATATTCCTGGAGAGCAAGCAGGGGCTGCTTTTAATTATCCATGGGATATTTGCCATGACCACCAACGCAACAACAAACCGGCCTTGGTCACACGGGGCTTCCCCACTCCCGTAGGTGTCTTCACCATCGCTGCCCTCGCCCAGGGAAAGGGGAATTTGTCTCTCTGTGCAGGGACTCTTTGGAAAGGCAATCATTTGAAATGCAAATTTCCCATAGGAGGGCCAAGCCTTCCCAAATTTTTCTTGTGTTAATACCACTGCCACCCAGGTCTCAGAATCCAGCCTAGGGTTATTCCACAAGCAAGAGGAAAAGAGACTATGCAAGGGAATGACTAGGGAGGAGGGAGAAAAGGGGTTCTGGGGTGTTCCCTGAAGTTTGCTGGCTTTATGTACAAAGCTTCTTAGAGCACCCTAGGAAGGGGTCAGGCTACCCTTTCTGCCTCCATATTATGATTCACACACACACATGCACGCACACACACACACACACACACACACACACACACACACGCCCCTTGGGACAGAGACTGTGGAACTGTCCTCCCACTGTGGACCATATGATATTATCTGATCATCAGTATTAGCATCTTGTGAGACATTCCCCTGTTGCCCCAGTGCTTGGGACAAGGATGGACTGTCTTTTTTGTTTTCTCATACTCTCCTGTAGGGACATGGAGGCACGGAGGTCAGGGGGCAACTGGTATTAGCTATTAGGATCTCAGAATAAGTATGAAAGGCCAAAGTCTCAATGCCACATCTTTCTTCCTGGGCATCACAGCCCCTGCATGAAAGATGGGGCTATTATTAGAAACAGGAGCTTAGAGCTCATTGTTCTGAGACCCTACTGTTATGGAAACCAAACTCAGGAAAGTAAGGATGAAACTGACCCTAGAGAAAACTCCCTTCAGAGAGGAAGCCTACATCGCCTATCCTGCCCCTCCAGGGTAGATTCAGGACTCAGGACCCTCTTCCTGAGCAGGGAATGCCCTCCAAGACAGAGTTAGGACATGATGGGCATCATGGCCCCTGTCCTCCACCTCACATTCTAGGATCCACCACTTCTTCCCCAGTTTGTCTTTCATTTTAAATGGACTTTTCAGTTTTAACAAATCATCTAAAACTGTCTATCTTTCCATCATCTGCCTTTCTATTTACCCATTATCTATCTGTACATCATCCATCCATCCATCCATCCATCCACCATTCATCTCTGACTCTCTGTCACTCTCTGTCTTTCTGTCTCTTTCTATGTCCTTTCTACTAGAGGGTTCTTTCCATTCATGCCTTAGGATATTTCAGGCTAGAAGATTACTATGAGAAATCTCTCCAAACTAGGCAGGAAAAATAGATATTTTTAGAGGGTAAGATGGGGAGGTGACAGGTCACACCTTGGATATTTTCAAATTTCTTTCTAAGGAGTGGGGAAGGGAGTGCTGTTCTGGAAGGCCTGTTTGATAATCTATCTCTGAGATCTCCACACAAGCTCTGGCTCCAAGGTTACATCTCTAGACCATTTTTCCTACTTTCCATATTCCTCCTCATAGTCATTGAGGGGTGGGTTGTACTCCCCAGGAGGCCCCCATCAGACCATGTGGCCTAGAGAAGTGAGAATGGAGGAAGGGGAGAGGCTGCTATTTGGGGGCCTAGAGTGAGGATGCATTATTTCCATTCAAACTCTCCGTTCTGGATTGCTGAGGCCAAGAACGATGAGAAGGTTGAAATGAATGGCCTGGGTATGCATTGGAAATCTTTTCTCCAAAAAATACTGAGCTCAAGAATCACACTATAGGGCCTCCTGGGGCTTAAATGATCACTGTGCCTTTTGGGACAACTTGTAGCTGGGAGAGGACCATTTGTGCAGAAAATAAATCATGAAATCTATTAGTGTCCCTCAAGGGAGTCTGGATCTCTCTATTTCTCTGTCTCTCTCTCTCTGTCGCTCTGTGTCTGTCTGTCTGTCTGTCTGTCTGTCTGTCTCTCTCTCTCTCACACACACACACACACACACACACACACACACACACACACACACACACACACATGCACTCTCTCTCTCCTCTGCTAGACCTTAGTAGAATGCTACTCAACATTCTCAACAGAAGAACTGACCGTTGCTAACTCACTTTGGAGTTTCTCTCTCTGGTCTTTCCCAGAGAAAGCAAATCTGGAGCCCACCACCTCCCTTAGAAGTACTATTGATTTCTGCCCTGTCAGTCCCCATCCCTGAAGAGTGGAAAGAAAATGAGAGTGCATGGAAGGGATTTTGTCTTGTTTTAGTTAACAGGGTTGACCAAATTCAACACCAGATCCAAAAATGGGCCATCCATGCTGAAATCTTCTTTTGGCCCCTGGAATCGAGACTATTTTGACCCGGGCCCTTATATCCTTTCTCAAATTGCAGAGACTTTTGGCTAACCCCATACCTGTACCCTGTGTCCTGGGACTTGTTCTCAGTGATGGACCGGAGGCAGGTATAGGATTCCCAGGCTGGATTCTAACCTTAATTTTGTCCTCCACTTTCATCTGGTTTTCATATACTATGTTGAATCTCAGGTAAGTGAGGTCTTCTGTTTTGGGTGAGTCTTTATTCAGACAGTAAGGGTCCAGCCACTGTGGGTGACCCACCAGACATCTGGTAAAAGCAACCTCTCTGTCCTGATAAAGGCGCTATCCAAATCTCCACTTCTCGGAGGGCAAATAGTTTAGTTTGGCACTGACCTTCATGACCTTACATCGATCCTTAGAGAAAGCCATATAAATCAGACTGCAATATTAATTACGAATGCTACTCTACATTACAGGAGAATAGACCATGTGCTAACTCAACTTTGGAGTTTCTCTGTCTGTGTTTCTAGCTCTGTGTCTTAGCCAAGTACCTCCCCCACCCCCTCCCTCTTTCTAGCTGTAGGGGGGAGAGAGAAATAAGAATGCTGCTGAAAACCCTGTGCCGCTCCCTTGTGTGCGTGTGATGTTTTTAGGAACCTGCTATCGTGACTGGCCGTGGTCGTGACTGTAACATTTGTTATCCTCTGCGTCCCCACTCTATGTCTCTGCGCGTTTTATCCTGTCCCCAAGATGAAATGCATCATGTTGTCAGTCAGTAAATCATGGGAGGGGAATGTCTTTCCAAACTGCTTGTTTTCACAAATGCAAACTTTGAGTAGACGGGGCATTTCCTAATAGCAATGAGCTTGTCCTCCCAGTTTCCAGATGCATGGAGCCCCTCCCGTGCACGGTGTGGGGCCAAGCACCACCCGTGCATGGTGGAGACATGTGGATGTCCACCCCATGGTGCTTTGCCTGCTTCTCTTCCTGCATGACGTGGTGACCAATGTGATGTTCTTTTCCAATGGAATCGCGGCCAATAAAGAATTACGTGATCTCACTCCCTGTGACTTTTCTTATTTTCTCAGAGATGGGACTGGGGGAGATGGGAAGGCATCAACCCACTGCTGAGTTGCCTGCATGCCTGGTCTAGACTTTCCTGGCCATGCTATGGAGGAGGATGAAAGAGTCATAGAATGATAGCCCAGGAGCAGGGAATTTAGGTATCATTTAATCCAATTCCATTTGACAGATTGGAAAACTGAGGCACAGAGGGCTTAGAAGGACGAGATGAGGTCCTGGACTCAGAATCCTGAAATCAAGGGTAAGAGACAGGACTCACCCATGGGAAAGAGTGAAAAAAACAGGACAGTATGTGATCAGTGGACTAGTGAGCCGAACTTGGTTCCTCCTGTAGTAGTGAGAGGAAGGAGGGCTGAGGAGGAAGGGAGAATGTGGGATGGCTAGGCTAAAAGAACTTCAGGATCATGGAATCCCCAAACCTCAGAGTTGACAAAGACCTCAGAGAGCATCTAGTCCAACCCTTGTGGGGCAAGAATGCCACTGCAGCATTTCCAATAAGTAGTAAAGACCTCTTCTGATGACTTATGAACAGTTGGCTAATAATAGAGTGAACCTAATAAGTGAAAATATATTTGTCTGGAATCCCTAGAATCTGATTAAAGGGACTTTAAACTAAAAAAGGGAGAAGGAGGAGGAAACTAGCTATGAAAGTCTGCCAGGACAAATACTGCAGTGGTATAACAGGTAAATGTAACAAGTAAAAACAGGCAAAACAGAAATAAAAATAGCAACAGAGGCCAGTAATGCCCCAAAAATGATAATTTAGGAGGCCGTCAGCAATAAGACCCTTGGCCTCAGACACTGTCTAAGATTCAAGGGGCTAATTCTAAGGGTGGAAGAGGTGATCAATCTCTCTCTCCCATTCCCCAATATTGAGCAGCTCACGCTCTCTAAAAGGGCAGTTAAATGGTAAACCTTGCTGCCATACCAGCTCAAAGGGAAAAGTCAAAACTCACGTATACTCTAGCTTTGGGACCTATTGTAGGACACTGAAGCTGGCCATATCTTAGATGGAGAGTGAGTACGGAGAATACGAAAGCTGCCCAGGCCACCTTGGGTACTTCCAGCTGTGAATCAGTCTTCTTCAGCCCTTTAGAGCTCCTGGTCTTATACCAGAGGTCAACACGCTAAGATAAGTACCAGTATTTATATAAGGCCACCAAATGATTCTTCAGTAGCAATGTAATTTGAAGTTAGATTACTCGTGACAATAGGTAATTGGACAGATGACAGTTAACAGAGATCTGCGTTTCATGAGGGTATGTAACATCTCATGAGAAAACTCCCTCTGTGAATGCAGATGGGCAGCTATTCTGCAACTTTTAGTTTTAGGTAACTATGAGCTGGCACTGAGAGTTTAAGTGACTTGCCTGGGGTCCAATGTAACTTTTTAAAAACTTACTTACATTTTTAAAAAAGTCTAGCTTTTTGATCAGCATTGACATTCTGGGAGAGCTAATTGGTATGGGCACACAAGCCAGAGCCACAGATGGACTTTTCTGATTTCATATTGGCCTTCAGGCATCTCAGCCTTTAATTCAACACTCTCAGGGGCCTAAGAAATACTTGCCTCTTATCAGGAGGAACACTTACAGTGGGCAATTTCTCATAATTAGCCAAAGGATGCCATGCACTCAGTGACCTTTGGAAGTAGCTGTTAGGTCAAGGTGAGCAGCTGAGCCAGTTTCAGGTACTAATAATTATCCGGAGAATATCCTAAACTCACAGTTCCAAGGCAGAAAAGAGTGCTTGTGGTCACTCACAGACCAGAGCCCAGGCCAAGAAAGGAATAAACACCTCTCCTTTGATCATACCACCTTGGAAGAACTGAAAATTTACAGGTCCCTAGAAGTATCTCTGAAGACAACTGCACAAAACCCCCAAAGCATGGGACAGTACACCCTCCACACTGGAAGCAGAGCTCTACCTTAACGAAGAGTTAAAAAGTCAAGTTACTGGCTGGGAACATGAGCAAACAGTGGAAAAAAACTCGGACTACAGAATATTATTTTGGTGACAAAGAAGATCAAAACATATAACCAGAAGAAGACAAAAAAGTCAAAGCTCCCACATCTAAAGCCTCCAAGAAAAGTATGAATCAGTCCTAGGCCATGGAAGAGCTCAAAAGGGATTTTGAGGAGCAAGTAAGAGAAGTAGAGAAAAAAGTGGGAAGAGAAATGAGAGTGATGCAAGAAAATAATGAAAAACAAGTCAATAGCTTGTTAAAGGAGACCCCAAAAAATACTGGAGAAAATAACATCTTAAAAAATAGACTAAGCCAAATGGCAAAAGAGGTCCAAAAAGCCAGTGAGGAGAAGAATGTCTTAAAAAACAGAACTGGCCAAATGGAAAAGAAGGTCCAAAAGCTCACTGAAGAAAATAATTACTTAAAAATTAGAATGGAGCAAATGGAAGCTAATGACTGTATAAGAAATCAAGAAATTACAAAACAAAACCAAAAGAATGAAAAAACAGAAGACAACGTGAAAAATCTCATTGGAAAAACAACTGACCTGGAATATAGAGGCAGGAGAGAGATTTTTAAAATTATTGTACTACCTGAAAGCCATGATTAAAAAAAAAAGAGTGTAGACATCATCTTTCAAGAAATTATCAAGGAAAATTGCCTTGATATTCTAGAATCAGAGGGTAAAATAGAAATTGAAAGAATCCACTGATCACCTCCTGAAAGACATCTCAAAAGCAAAATTCCTAGGAATATTGTAGCCAAATTCCAGAGTTAGGTCAAGGAGAAAATTTTAGCAGCTTCTACATTAAGAGACTGGAGGGCTTGGAATAGAGGTCAAAGGAGCTAGGATTAAAACCAAGAATCACCTATCCAGCAAAACTGCGTATAATCCTTCAGAGGAAAAAATAGATATTCAATGAAATAGAGGACTTTCAAGCATTCCTGATGAAAAGACCAGAGCTGAACAGAAAATTTGACTTTCAAATACAAGACTCAAGAGCAGCATGAAAAGGTAAAGAGGAAAGAGAAATCATAAAAGACTTATTAAAGTTGAACTGTTTACATTCCTACCTGGAAAGACGATATTTGTAACTCATGACACCTTTCTTAGTATTAGGGTAGTTGAAGGAAATGTATGCATATAGACAGAGGACACAAGGTGAGTTGAATATGAAGGGATGATGTCGAAAAAATAAAATTAAGTGACAAGAGAGGACTGTACTTGGAGAAGAAGAAAGGGAGAGGCAGAATGGGGCAAATTATCTCACATGAAAGAGGCAAAAAAAGCTTTTGCAGTGGAGAGGAAGAGGGGGAAGGTGAGAGGAAATGAATGAATCTTACTCTCATTGGATTTGGAGTAAGGAGGGAATAACATACACACTCAATTGGATTTGGAAATCTATCTTACCCCACAGGAAAATAGGGGGAAGGGGATAAGAGAGGGGGTATGATAGAAGGGAAGGCAGATTGGGGGAGGGGGTAATCAGAAGCAAACACTTTTGAG